CCAAAGAAACATAGGTCCCATGGTTCCCCTTATTTGCAATAACTAGTATATGTCTGAGTCAAGCAGAAAAGGTCAGTTAAGTTGATGTTAGGGAAATGAACCCTAAGATATGTATTCAAATGTTTTTTTTTCTTTCATGCGATTGTTTCTAACATATTTATAAGATTATTTCTTTGTTGCTTTGTATGTCATTGTTATTTTATAGATCTATTAAAACAAGAATCCATCCTTTAAGAAAGCAGAAAGCACCAGGCACTGGTGGCTCAAGCCTATAATCCTAACTACTCAGGAGGCTGAGATCTGAGGATCTCCATTCAAAGCCAACTATTGCAGGAAAGTCTATGAGACTCTTATCTCCAATTAATTACAGAAAAAGCTGAAAGTGGTGCTGTAGCTCAAGTGGTAGAGTGTTAGCCTTGAGCAAAAGGAGCTTAAGGACAATGCCCAGGCCCAGAGCAAAGCTCAGGAGCAGAAAAAAAAAATAGAAAGCTCTTGAAATAATTAGCAATTTTAGGTGAGAAAAGAGTATTATTCATCATGAGTATCTAAAGAAAAAAAATACTTAGGAGGCTAAGATATGAGGATCTCTGTTCAAAGCCAGCTGGGAAGGGAGAATCTTATCTCCAATTAACTACCAGAAAACCACAAAGGTGCTGTTGCTTAAAATTGTAGAGTACTACCCTTGAGTGAAAAAGCTCAGGGACAGCACACAGGCCCCACTCAAGTCCTCTGACCCAAAACCCCACAAAATCCTTGTTAGTTGATACATTTCAGAACACTGAAAAAAATTCAATCAACATAAATAAGCTTAAATCCCTCACAAATTTATGAATTTTCGTGTTTGTGTGTGTGTGTGTGTGTGTGTGTCCGTGTGTGCCTGTGTGTGCACGCGCTGGTCTTGGGGCTTGACCTCAGAGCCCTGGGCACTGCCCTTGAGTTTTGTTTTTTGGTTTCTTTGTTTTTGGCCAGTTCTGGGACTTGAACTCAGAGCCCTGGGCACTGCCCTTGAGTTTTTTTTTTTTGGTTTCTTTGTTTTTGGCCAGTTCTGGGACTTGAACTCAGAGCTTCTCTTGCTAAAGGCTAACACTCTACCACTTGAGCCACAATGCCATTGCTGGCCTTTTCTGTTTATGTGGTACTGAGGAGTCGAACCCAGGGCTTCATGCATGCTAGCAAGCACTCTACCATTAAGCCACATTCCCAGCCTGAGCTTTTTGGCTTAAAGCTAATGCTCTACCCACTGAGCCACAGCTCCACTTAAGGCTTTTTTGGTGCTTAATTGGAGATGAGTCTCACAGACTTTCCTGCCCAGCTTGGCTTCTAACCACGATTCTCAGATCTCAGCCTCCTGAGTAGCTAGGATTACAGGCATGAGCCACCTGCACCCAAATATTTTGTTTTGTGTTTGAAATGGGGTTACACTATGCTGAGCAGGCTGCTCTTAAACTTGTATGTTCAAATGATCTTCAATTCAGCCTCCCAAGTAGCTCGGACAAGAAATAGATACTACTATCCCCAAATAAGTAGGTGTTGTTATTCTTTAACTGCTAAGGTAAACAAATCACATGGTATAAAGCTCGCCAAAATAACATTAAGAAAATATAAATCCTCAAAGTTATTTCTACATATAGAAATAATATTTACTGATAATATCTGAGTGCCTATTTTCAGATTTACAAACATAAATTTATCCTAGTATTTTCCAAAGTATACTTACAGGACATTTCCTGTAGTCATCTGTTGTATTTGCTGCTTGAAGCAGTTCTGCAAACATTTCTGGTTTAAAGCGTTCATGCCTTTCCATCATTCTCTCAACTTCATTGCTACCAAAAAATTTTTCAAAAGCAGTCTCAATATAGACCACGAACTTAAAAACAAGTCTAATGAATTACACATGAAAACATTATCAATACATATTAATAGATTGCCTCACTTCTGGTTAAAACATGACTATATCTGAAAAATTAACTGTAAATCGACATAAAGTGAAAAATTAAGTTTGGCAGGCATAGATGAAAATGTAGTACAAGTATAGAATAACACTGCAATTGTGCTTTGGTTTGGGACTACCTGAATGAAGGTAATATGTCCTGTCTGAAGCAAAGGCATGAAGCAAATGATTCTTTTATTCAATTACTTAATAATTAGAGACTTGAATGTGAACTCTCTATTCTGAAAAAAGGAGGAAAAAAATTGTAGGACAGGTTTTTTTCTCTCTGGCTCAAAGTTCTCAGAAGTTTTGATTTCTTCTAGAGTTAAGTGCAGAAGTCACAGCCAAAGTTACTCAAGATGGACTTGTGCCTTTGTTCCTATTACGCATGCCAATTATTGTTCTAGAGCAGAGGCGGCATTTTGCATTCATTACTGGGGAACTCTGTCACTCTATTCACTTCCCCAAGAGTCCCACTGGTACACTTCAAGGCATTAGAAACCTTTAAACAATGACTTAAAGATTTTCAAAAGGAAAGCTGAAACACAAATTGCCAGTCTAGAAGAAGTCCTGCTTCTGCTCAACAGTAATGTAACTGTCCTGGATATGTTCAGTAGTGTAATAGTTTATCTATAGAATTCAAAAAGTATAAGCATCCTCTGACACACTTCACACTTCTGTTAGAACACACCAAATCTGATGATCTCAAAAAGAATTTCACAGAATAGTTTTACAAAATGGAGCATGGGAGCACTGGTTAACTAGACCGACAGTGCAGTCAATCCAACTTGGATTGGAATCCTCATCCAGACAAGGTAGGGATATCTGGGCCTTGAAACCATTTGGTACAGAACAGAACAGACATGCTTGTGTCTTGTCAGCTGTCCACAGACTATTTAGCTACATTGATAATTTTGCATGGCCTGCAAATGATGTTAGAAATATCCAAAGGGCCCTGAGCCCTGAAATGTCTTCTGAGATCATAAAACCTATTTTCTTTTCTTCTTTGTACTGATCCTGGTGCTTGAACTTAGGGCCTAGGCACTGTCCTTAAGCTTTTGTCTTCCAGTGCTCTACCACTGAGCCATAGCTTCACTTCTGGCCTTTGGGTGATCACCTGGAGATAAGTGTCTATGGGCTTTCTGGTGTGACAAGGTAACTTTGGAGAAAAAAAATATATGCATATATTTCTCACGCCACATATCTCACAGAGCTATGGGGAGCAGCCATATTGATAAGGTGCTACTGTTCAAGACTGTAAATCCCTGAGACTTGAAACTTAGGTGTGTTCATGGCTTAGGTAGTTTGGGTGGGAGACAGCCATGAATGGAGGCTGTACAGAGAAGAGGGTCTGATGAGGATCCAATGAAAGGTTCAAGAAGTGAAATCGTGGGCAGTACAGGATTCAAGGTTCAGTGACCTCTACCTTCCCAGGCTGGTTAAAACTTTGCAGCTGGCTATCCTTTTCAAATACCATCCCGACTGCCATATAAATTCAAAGAAGTAACAGCTGATTACACTTGACTGAAATTTAGAATAACAATAACTCCACACAATGGTTATTACACAAAAATCTTTGCAAATAGGGCCTGGTATGGTGGCTATCACCTTTAATCCTGCAAAGGTAGGAGAATCATAGTCTGAGATCAGCTTACAGGCAAAAAGCATGAGACCCTATCTGAGAAAGAAAGCAAAAAGGGTTGTAGATGTGGTTCAAGTAGTAGTGTGATTTCCTATCAAATGTAAGGGCCTGAATTCAAAACTCAGTACTGAGAAAAATAAAATGAAAGGAAGGGAAAGAAAGAGAAGGACAGGGGAGGAGAGGGAAGAGGAGAAGGGAGAAGGAGAGAGGAAGGCAGGGAGATAAGGAGAGGGATGAGATGGGAAGAAAGGGCAGAAAAAGGAAGAATGTTTCAAATTTTTTCTTTCTTTTCTGCTTCTCCTAGCTTTTATCACTGTGAAGGGACTGAGGGGAGCTAATAGGAAATCCAGCCACTTATAAAGGGAACATGGTGTTACAAACTAACAAGACGAATTTTCCACAGCTCCATTTACATAGTCTCTCATTTCAAGCTCCACAATTCTATACCTAAGGAGAAAATCTGAAAATTTGCACCATTTTGTACTATTTTGTCCATTTTGCAAATGTACAGGTTAAGCATCCCTAATCTGACATTTTAAAGTTTGGAATGCTCTGAAATGTAAAACTTTTTGAGCACCAAACGGAAAATTCCAAACCTGACTTGATCACATGGGGCACAGTCAAAATTCAGGTGCTTTTAAAACACAACATAAAATCACCTTCAGACAAAATGTACAAGTTATGTATGGAACACAAACTTTATTTATTTATTTATATATTTTTTTGGGTCCAGTCGTGGGGCCTGAGCTCTGGGACTGGGTGCTGTCCCTCAGCTCTTCAGCTCAAGGCGAGCACTCTACCACTCGAGCCACAGCGCCACTTTCGGCTTTTTTTTTTTCTTTTTGCTTATGTGGTGCTGAGGAATCGACCTCAGGGTCTCATGCATGCAAGGCAAACGCTCCACCACTGAGCCACCTTCCCAGCCCGGAACACAAACTTTAAACCTGGGTCCCATCCCCTGCAGAGCTCATTATGAATATGCAAATATTCCCAAATCTGAAATTCAAAACACTGTTCCTCCTGAGTGCTTTAGACAAGGAAGGAATGATAACCTATGTTAAATGACACACATGCAACCAATTCAGACTACTGAGATAGGTATCTCCTAGGACCCTTTTCAGAAGGGTATTTGCAGGCCTCAAACAGTGAAGGGGAGAAATTCCTACATGTTCTTGTTTTACAGAAAAAAAAAAATGCTCCATGTGCTTAAGTGTGTGAATAACATCTGGGTTAAATACACTTGGTCGATTCTTACCATAGGGCTGTTGTAGAAATGTAGCGTACAAACTCAGTAAAGGGGAGAGGGTCTGATGACGCCCCACAGCTACGACACACACACTGCAGGTAAAAGCAAACATTTAGTCCACTGTCCACCAAGCATGAGCAGCGTCTCAAAAATAAGTAAGCCACTTCACCTGTTCATACAGGGTCATAGCAAACTTCTGGTGAGTGATACAGGATTTAGAGGTACACATGTCTGCATCTCTGCTTGGCACTAGGTGAAAGTGAATCCTTTCCAATATATTTTCCTAATTCAAAATAAGAAACAAACAAAAGAAGAAATGAATTGCTGATTGTGCAGAAAATACTTCATAATGCATCTTTTCTTTACTGAACATTTTGCCACCTGTACATTTAGGAATGTTACATGTACTATTTGCTTTTCAGTTTTCTGCTGTAATCAACACTTAAAATGGTCAACTATTCAGCTTTCTGCAGTGCTAGCTAAAAATACTGTTTAATGCAAGAAACATAATATAATAGGAGTTACCATAAGCAGAAAAAAAATCATGATTAGATATTTTAACAACATTAGGAACAATTAATTTTCAGGCACGGTAGTGTTACTGTTTTTAGACCCTGTCTTAGTAGAGGTACTTATCAACTTAGTTGTGGATAAAACTAAATAACCTTAGAGTTGCTTTAAAATCTACTTGTGGGTACAGCAAAATTGGGGAAAGAAAACAGAGATGAACCAAAATTGGTCATACATTCATAACTACTAAAGGTGCATTATAGGATATGGAGGTTCATATTCTATGCTCACCACTTCAAAATTTTCAAAATAAAGCTTTTTAAAGAGTTTTAAAAATAAAACTATTATACCTAGTTATACCCTTGAAATATCTGAAGGACCATTATGCTTAGATTGGTTAAATACCTATCTTTGTCTTGAGACTTGTTAGTCAGAGCTCAAAGCAATGAACAGTGATTAAAAAGAAGCAGAACTTAGCTTAGGATGCAGACATCTAATGTTACTAGAGCCGCCTGACAATGAGATGGAAACGTGAAGAGAGAATCTGCTGCACTTTGCTACAGGGGTTCAAGCTGAAGTCATATGCTCACTTGAAGATGCAACCGAGGTATCAAAACATTGGATGAAAGCAGGGCTAGGGGACGGACCTGTGATCAGCATTAATTTTACACTATGTTCAAAAAAGTACTTTGCAAGGTAATGAATTCAGAGTATAACAGAGAAAAAATGTTTCTCAAAAAATATATGATTTAAAATGAAGATTTAAAAAAATCCTCTTTCAAACCAGTCCTCAGGGGCTCATATCTACAGATTAATATTAGGAAAAATAGTTTCCTATATTCTTATACCAAGAAAAAGATAGTAACTTCTTTAAAATCCTGCTTAAACCAACTAGATTATCTAAACTTAAAATAGCAATGATATCCAAACTTAAATGATAGTTAAACTTAAAATATCTAAACTTATACTATACTCCAGAGAGGGTCCTGCATTATTTAACAAACCTCAGACAATTTCAGATTTGAAATGCAGACCAATAGGGAAAATCAATTTCTGAATAAACCTTTTCTTAGCAGAGTTTAACCAATAAATTCTATTTTATTCTTATTTTTTTAGCAATAAGAGAGTGAACTTGGGGCCTTGACACTTGCTAGTCAGGTGCTTTACTACTTGAGCCCAGCCCTTCTCCCTTTAGTTATGTTTTTGCTTTTTGCCCAGGCCAGACTTGAACTATGACCCTACTCCCAGCCTTCTGCTGTAGGTGGAATTATAAATATGCACTATCACACCTAGTTTGCTTAGACAGGGTCTTGCTAATATTTTGTCTGTATTGGCCTCAACTAGCATCCTCCAGACCTCTGTGTATTAAGTAGCTTGGGTTACAGATCTGCAACCACTGTGTCAGCCAACCAATGGATTCTTTTTATTAACTTTCTCCTTCTCTGCACCAAGACATTTCAAATCACTGTTATTTAAGTCTGGATGTCAAGGTATTTTATGAAGTATAATTAGCACACATGAATACATTTCATTTAAGTCTAAGTAAAACTATAAACTTCAGAACTGGGAAAAGCACATGTATGTTTTAAGCAAGAGATCAATCATAAAGAGAAAAAATATGAAAACTGAATTGTATGAATGTATGTGCTGTACTGGCACATTCTAATCTATACAGAAGTATGCCAAGCAATGTACTAGAGTCAAGGAGCTTTCCAAGTTCAGAAGGAAACCATAAAGATACTCATTACATAAAAGATTACTAATAATGCATAATGTCATACAGACAGTGAATTCTACGGAAAGCCAGGGAACGAACTAGAGCAGTTTGGTCATACATTACCTGATGGAAATGACTTAATTTGATCCTTGACAAAAGAGTAGTTTGAAAAGTTTTGAGTATTTCAGAAACTTGAGCAAAGGCTGTTAAGCAGAAATACAAAAGATGTGTGAGAAACAGAATGGCAACTATCTCACGATGAAGGAAAATTCAGGAAGGAAGCGAAGAGATACATTGGAATTTAACTAGAAAAGGGCCTTATAGGTCAGAATAAAAAGTCTTGATTTGAATCACAATATTTGGAAGATCAACCAAACATCAAGAAGAAAATATGTAAATCTGGCAGACAGATTAGAGACCCTAAAGGCACAGGACAGATGGACAATAGTCAGGAGTCTTACAGATGCTGAGAGCAGAGGACTAAAGTAAGAAGAAATGGAGGTAAGGATATAAAATGAAAAAGAAAATGTAGGCGGGCGCTGGTGGCTCATGCCTGTAATCCTAGCTAATCAGGAGGCTGAGATCTGAGGATCATGGTTCAAAGCCAGCCCCGGCAGGAAGAGTCCGTGAAACTCTTATCTCCAATAAAAACCACCAGAAAACTGGAAGTGGCGCTGTTGCTCAAGTGGTAGAGTGCTCGCCTTGAGCTGAAGAGCTCAGGGACAGCGCTCAGGCCCAGAATTCAAGCCCCATGACCGACAAAAAAAGACAAAAAAGAAAATGTAAGAGGGTTTGTGACAGAAGAAGTTAATTTGCTAAGTAGAAACAGCAGCAAGAGAAAATAAACAGCTGTTTCTTCACGTACTAAGACACTGAATAATCAACGTACATAGCTAAGCAGGACAAAATATCAAGGGGATATTCCCAATTGATTTGTATAGCAGGCCTGGCAACACCAAGCCTTGATTGTCAAGCCGCTGCTCCTGAGCCCTCACCACCCTCTACCCATAACCCCTGACCTGGAGACTGCACGTAAAGAAATGCGACAGCAGGGTCTGGGGTGCACATGGAGGACTTGTGGAAACAGAACCCTGAAATAAGGGATAACATTTTAAAGTCTTTGGGCCTAACAAATTTTTGTTGTCCAAGATGCCATAAAAACTACACAAATAAGCCAAAGCAAAAATATTACACAAAATAGACTTAAATTGATAGATGGATATGGTAGGGTCCTATTGACCAGTTCTGATACTTTTCCATCTTAAAAAAAAATTTTTTTTCATTTGTCTCAGCATCTGCATTATGGAAGGAATAAACACTATTACTGTGGTCTCTTAGGGATCATCTGAAATACAAAGCACTCTGCCTCTTAGGGATCATCAGAGATACTTCTGCCTCTTAGGAATCATAAAAAATACAGAGCATTGTGCCTCTTAGCAATCATCACAGATACTTACAAAGCATTCTGCAGCATCATCCATAAGGCCCAGTTGAAATCGCTGTTCATCTTTGAAGCTTTCTGCAAGAGCATGCCTGATGTTATCAGAGGGAAGTGCTTTTTCTCGGCTGTGTTGAAACTGTGCAAATATTGTCTGGAAATCAAAAGTGCATCAGTATGGTTAATGCCAACAACTTCAAATTACTTCAGTAATTTCATTACAAGATAGTCACTCTGAACATGCTACTTAGAAACTAATACAGACCAGCTTTTTACACTCAATCTATATAAAAATAAACTACTCATGTCAGTGAAATATGGGGTCAACTGGCCCAGCCTCTAAGTGCATAAAAACTGAAACAAAATCTCTCACATCCACCTTCAATGACTGATTAAAGAACATTCTGTTGCCAGAAGAGTCTCAGAGAGGTTGTTAAAGGAAGAGAGGTTTTTGTTTGTTTGTTTGTTTTGTCAGTCATGGGGCCTGATCTCTGGGCCAGGGGACTGCCCCTCAGCTCTTCCGCTAAAGGCAAGTGCTCTAACACTTGAGCTACAGCACCACTTCCAATCTTCTGGTGATTAATTGGAGATTAGAGTCTTGTGGACTTTCCTTCCCCGGGCTGGCTTTGTACTGTAATCCTCAGATCTTAGCCTCATAAGTAGCGAGGATTATAGGCATGAGCCACTGACACTAGGCTGGACTAGAGTTTTGATAAGTTGCTTTAAATGTAAAAGTATGCTATAGGAAATATTAAATCATTCCAGGCAAGGGTAAGTACAAAAAATCACATAAAAAGTGGTAGGAATTCACTAGACTATTTTTAAAAGTTAAAGTTAACCAAAAGGAACTTTTAGGATTGTTTTTTTGAGAGGCCAAGCAAAAGTCAAAAACTAACAAAGTAAAAACAAAAAATAAGCCTTTAATATATTTACTATTTCCTATTACACTAAATTTGCTTTATAAAATGTAAAAGCACATTTTACAAGAAGACCTAATGATTACTTTTAAATTTTAAAGAAAAGCCCATTCCCCCAGTTACCAATTTTCCTCACTCGAATTACTTCTAAGAAATCACTAAATCAACATTTGAGAATGAGATAGTAAGTATGAATCTGCTTTCTATTTTCCTTCTGAATAAAGCAAGGAAAATACTTTCTAGTAAGTTTCAGTTTAAAGACAATCATCTCTTGGGAGAGAAAGTAGGTAACAAAGGTTTTCAATGACAACCCACCACACAGAACCAATCAGATTGACAAGTGTCAGGGGCTCACATAATCCTAGCTACTGAAAAGCCTGAGCTCTGAGGAAGCCAGCCCAGCGCAGAGACTCCTAACTCCAAACCAGCAAAAAGTTGGAAGTGGAGCTGTGACTCAGGTGGCAGAGCACCAGCCTTAAGCAAAAAATCCAAGCAAGAGAGGCCCTGAATTCAAGACCCAGTACTGACACAAAAACATAATTTGCAAGATATATAAGAAACTAAAACCCAAAAGTGCCAGTTGATATTATCCAAAATTATAATTATGTTATTCATTGTAATAGCTTAAAATACAAATACTAAAAGATGAATAAGTAATATTCAGATTTCATCTCTTCTTTAGCAATTTAATTTTCCAGGTGAAGTTTAAGCTACTAATAGGATACAAGACTGTTTCTTGTACTTTTTCCTTGATTACTACTTTCTTTGCTTAATAGTATTCTCTGTCAGGCATTGATTAACTCTAGAAAACACATGCCCCTGACTTTATGAGCCTTACACTATAATCCCAGTAACAAGAAGTAAGTAAGTAAGTAGGTGGAAGAATGTGTAAAGATATGGGAGAAAAGATCAACAGAAAGAATTGCAATCAAAAGAAAAGTAAAGCAGTGCAATGAAGAATGCCACAGAAGTATGATTTTCCTTTTACCTAGAGTAGTGAGGGAAGGCCTGGCTGATGGAAAAAGTAACATGTGAAGGCAAGCAGAAAGGAAATAAGGGTGTCGGCCCGAGGACAGCTGGAAGAAAAGCTTTTCACACAAAAGGAGCAGTGGAAAGATTTGGAGATGGGAGCCAGCTCTGAGAGAGAAGGCAGGAGAGACTGATGTGCAATGTATGTTTGTGAAAGGTGGGTTTTGTTTGTTTGTTTTGTTTTTTGGTGGGGAGAAAGCAAAGACAAAGGCAGAGGGGGAAACAGCAGGCAGACAGGCCATTGTGAAGTGTGATGAGAGAGCTGGAATGGAACACGGAGCGATTCTGATTTTTAAAATTGGGCAAAACACTCCCAATTTCCTGTGTGGTAAATAAAATGTGATACCACAATTTGATCCAGGTTTATTCTTCATCCTCTAACAATAGCACTATTGAACCATGTTTGAAAAGGACATTACGAAATTTCTTTTGGTGTTTTATGCAAACAACCTTTTCAGGAACATAAAAAAAAAATTAAGGCAGATAAATATATTTTGCTATTTTCCTAAATAGGCATGTATATTCATTAAGACTATTTGGGAATATAAAAGAATAAAAATTTTTATATAAAAAATGTGTTGGAGGTGGCTCAAGTAGTAGAGTTCAATTTAAAATGTGTTAATAAAACTTTAAATTCTTGGACAAAAATGAATGGCTAATACATACCAAACTCCCCTTTGGTTTTCATTTCCCTTTTATCTATGCACATCTCAGTCGTGAAAAGGGCTAGTTCAAACTGATTATGTTACTCCTCTACTTTAAACAAGCTTGAAACTTCCTCAGTTGCTCAGAGAAAAAGCCAAGATTTTTTCATAAAGACATAGAAAGTCTTCAGAGTCTCAACTCCTGTCCCAGTTATTAACTGCCCTGGAACTAATCACCTCAAAACTTGGTCACCATAATTTGCTTATGCATCTGAAATATGGCAGAATGGCTCCTCTGCTCTAACTGTTGCTATTAGGTACTGTCTGACGCTGGGACCTAGAGTTATGTGAAGGTGGCTCGCAGTTGGCTATTGGCTGAGACTTCGTCTGGTACTGAGTACAAGATGCATGTGGCCTTTCCACATGGCTACTTGGCTTCCTCCAAGCATGCTAGCTGCCTTCCAAGAATAATAACCCCAAGAGATGGCACAAGAGCTCTATCACTTCTGCTAATCAACTAAACTCAGGTATCTTGCAGAATCAGTTCTGTCTGTCAGCAATCAATGGCTGTGGCTCGCCATGCTCAGGAGTTACCCTGGAGAGGAAAAATGTAAAACACTCTGCAAACATGCTTAAAATCTCCAGCAGGCCCTGCCATACCTCTGAGCTCATCTCTCAGCACTCCCTTCCCTGCTCACAGAGCTGCTGGCTTTGTGACAGCCAGGATTTATTTGGTGTTCCTTGAACATGCTGAGTTTACTCCCACCTTAATGGCAATTGTTGCTGCTATATCTACCTGGAAGACTTTTTTTTAAAGATAGAGTAACACTAGACAGCTTAGCTGGCCTAGAACTTGCTGTGTAGACCAGGATGACCTCCTGCCTCAGCCTTCCAAGTGCTAGGATTACAGTCATGTGCCACCAAGCTCAGATCCTGGAAAACTCTTCTACCACAAAGCCTCTTAGCTCATGTTTTCTCACTGAGGATTTTCTGGCCACTCAACACTCCCTGCTCGTTCCCCCTGACTTGCTTTTCACTCCTAGCCACTATCACCTAGCATGAGTAAAAGTCTCCTTACTTTACTGTCTTCTCAGTAAGAATACAAGCTCCTTGAAAACCGGGAGTTCTTCCTTTCTTTGAGACAAGTCTCACCAGGTAGCCCAAGCTGGCCTTGAACTTGAATGCCACCTGGCTCAGCCTCCTGAGCTTTGAAGGGCAGAGATTTTTATCAAGTCTGCTCCTCAGGAAAGACAACAGCACCCAGACCTAGTGGTAGCTAACAACCATTTATCAAAATGATAAACAATTACTTTAAAATAAAAAAGATGTTAATAGTTAAGCTATTTTTTCACCTTTCTTATACCTAAGTGGAAGATAAACACATAAATCTGAATATGCATTTAAGAATTTATCTTTGAAGTCAGTCACCAATGGTTCACACCTGTAATCCTAGCACCTGATGAGGCTGGAGGATCTCAGTTTGAAGCCAGCTGAAGTAGAAAAGTCCCTGAGATTCCATCTCCATAATAACCAGAATTAAAAAAAAAAAAACCCTGTGGCCCAAGTAGAAGAGCACCAACCATGAGCTAGCTAAGTGAGAATATAATGCCTTGAATTCAAACAAACAAAAATTCATCTTTGAAACAATAAATCACTTGATAATAAATTATAATTACAAAAAATCTGACCAGATACATCAATTGGAAAAATTAAATTTGGGGAAAATGATTGATAATTCAAGTTACCTTCAATGCACAGAATATGCAGGCATCTCCCTGACACACATGTCCAGTCAGAACTCGCAGGCTTCGTCTGAATATATCCAACTGCCATAAAACCTAAGAAACATGTGTGAAGGAAAAAGAAACAATTAAAATTTCCTCACTGTGCCAAATGGCAGACTTAAGACATTTTAAAAACTTCAGAATGTTAGTGACTTTGAAACTTCCTGTACATAATCACATATATATATGCATGTAAAAACTATTACATACATGTTGTATATGTATCAAAGATGGATTCAGAAGACATTTGTATTGATTCACATGAAAAACCAAGCTGGGCGAGAGCAAGAAACATCTAAATCCTCAGTTAAGGATCTACTCTGAACAGGAACCAGGGGATACTAAATGGAAGACTTGGCAGAGACTTGAAAGAGGAAGTGATTGTAATACTTGGAACAAGCTGAAGTCTAGGAAGGAAATATAATTAGACTTTAAAGCTTGGGTATAGCAAGGAGAGGTCAACTCATTGTGGCAGGAGGGAAGGGTGGCCAGACATGTGTGTGGTCACAGTATACTGAGTGAGAAAACAGAATCTGTGTGGTAAAATGGGTATGGCATGGTAAGCAGCAGCTAAGGAATAATCTGAATATATTTACTACAATTATCCCTTAACAGTCTGCTACAAAAGAGGCCAAGCAACCAAAAAAGTGGCAGTTCCTAAAAATCAACTGTGAAGCCTAAAGATACGGCAAAAATAGTATCTGCCTCAAGACTTCTTGTGAAGAATAATATATAATAATATGTAAAGTGTTTAGAGCAGGGGCTGGCACATAATTAGTACAAAGCAAACCCAAGCTAGGATTACAATAAGCTAGTACTACTGCGAGGTTTCCCTTTTAACTTTTAGTTACTTCCTCAAATAACATCACTTAGGAAATCCATTTAGGACTGCTTACTTCTCCCTAGGTTAATGAAAACAAATTGATTTTCATGTTCCTTACATTTTTCAACCACTCAATAGCTAAAGACATTTCAGAACTTCCCTTTGAAAGTTGTTTTTCCTTAAGGCATAATAGGATCACTTGCTTATCATTAATGACTCAGTGTTTTGCAAAGTATTTGGTAGTGTTTAGTAACTTCCTTGCATATCCTGAAACATTACACTGAGACCTATTTTAAATAAATTCGATGAAGAAGATGAAAATGAAGGACACTGAAAGAACACCATAGTTGGTACTGGCTCTGAAGGTTACCAACATCCAGGGGTTCTACCTCTTGCCTCACTTTGTACCAGCTCTCAGACTGATTTGGGCACAATATTCTCTGCAGCTCAGTATCCTTCACAAACTGAGGATGACAATGGTGCCTATCTCTTAGGTTTGTGTAAAGATTAAATTTGACAATCTACATAATGTCCACACAGTACATACTAAGAACCTACTGTTTATTATTAAATATAACTTAATTTCTAACTTAGAGAATTTTTAAACACTATACTCATGTGTCAAACCAACTTAACTGAATATATTCTCACCAGATAAAATTAAAGAGTTCAGCTAATAAGATATGCCTGCCTTCTATAATCTGTTTGTAAGGTTCGTGAAGCTTTTCAAATGCAACTCTTAATTTCTTTTCCTATCAGAAATTTTAAGTTACACTGGATTGAACTATAGAAAATTATTTTGTGATTTTTAGAAAACTTCTCTGTATATCATTGAATAGTGCAAAGCTTTTTCAACATAATAGTACAAATCTCTATCACAAAATAATTCTACTTGTAATTAATACTTAATCTATTTCATTTTTTAAAGGTTGAGCATATTTCACCACCTACTTAAAAAAACAAACTCTAAGCATTTGTTGGACTAATTCATTTTCAAGAATATTTCCTGATGGGAAGGGTAAACAAAGGAGGAGGCTACAATGCTTGATAAGAAATGTACTCATTATCTTGCCCATGTAATTGTAACCCCTCTGTACAGTATTTTCACAATAAAAAAGAATATTTCCTTTTCATTTGTACATAGCAAATTCAACAAGAATCTAAACAAAATCAATGGGTTCCTCCATTTCTTTGGCTTATTTTTTGCTAGGCTATAGCACTACCAAAATGAGCCACATCTCCGGGCCATTTTGGCTTCAGTTATTTTCTGGATGTGGTTGATCTCTACCTCCCTTACCTATGCCTCCTGGGTAGCTAGAATCCCAGGCATGCGCTACTACTTCCAGCTCTGTTGATGGGGGTCTGAGTAACTTTCTCCCTAAGCTAGCTTCAAATTGCATTTGTCTCTATCTCCCAAATAGCTGGAACTATCCAGGCACAAGCCAATACTGGAGCCTAATGCTTTTTAGTGGTTACACAAAATATTGACTAGTCTAAAACACATGTATTCACGTGCATTAGGTAAAGGAATACAAATCTTTGATAACATTCCTTGGTTCAGCATAATACAAAAAGAAGCTAAAATTAAGTAATGAGAAATGGCATATAAATTCATTTTTTCTGACTTAATTAATCCTGTACTACTTTAATAATGTCTGCTTCTGAAATTTATAATTTCTTACCAGATGTATTTTGCAATTTATTTCTCAGCATTTAAAAAAATAGCATAAGCTGAGATTTTTCACTGCAACATTTCTACTCATGTATACAATGTAATTAATCTCACCTCTTTTATCATTGCCCATCCCCAACTTCCTCTCTTCCTAACATTTCAATTGGTGTTCTTGTTCCATGGTCATAATATGAACCTATTTCGACAATACCAATCTCATTCCCTGCTCTCCTTAACCTAATCCCCTCCTACCGGTACCTACCCTACCAACAGAGCCCATTTCGCTTTGTCTCACCCCAAACTCCAGACTTAGCAATAGCTTTCACTGAGGTTCTTCACAGTTCTGCTTTTAAAAATAATTAACCAAATTTCATATTAACATTGATACTCTGATTTTTTTTTATAATGGTGTCATTTTCTGACAGAAAAGTCTGTTTGAACAGTTTTGTCAGTAAGGCTTGCGTCTGACAATCACCTTAGACATCTTCACATGGAGGGCAGGAGACACCCCAAAGCTGTGGGAGTTGGCAGCTGAGCCCTGCGGGGGCCAGAGCCACCCAGAGCCAATGCCATAGACCTGCACAGGGGCCTCTAGTAAGTACTGTGAGGAAATTACCCAAAACGGGCAACAAACACCCTAAAGAATGGCAGTATACAATATCCAGAGCTCACAGAGGCCTAGGACAGGACCTGTGCCCAACAGCCAGCGTAGAAAACTTGAAGGCTCATCTTAACAATGTAACTCTTATTACAGCCCAGTAAAGCTGACAAGTAAAATGGCCAAGCTATTTCCAAATAAATTGATCCAGTCCCACAATAAAGTTCACAATTATTTTTAGGAATACAAAAATATTATGAGTACAAAGGCAAAATTTGATTTCTAACCAAGCATTAAAGAAAAAGAAAATATACTCTAGGATGCAGAAAATAAAAAAGTCCAAAATGGAAACTCAGTCAAAATTTATAGGAGCTAATGGGATCTGAGAACTGGCAACTCATGGCTGTAATCTTAGCTACTCAGGAGGATTCTGATGTGAAGTCAGCCTGGTCAGAGAAGTCCATAAGACTTCATTTCCAAAATAACCAGTAAAAAGAAGGGCTAGCAGTGTGACTCAAGTGGGAGAATGGGAGCCGAGCAAGCAAGGGGAACAGATTCAAGCACTGAGCTGAAGAACTGGAAAATACTCGATAAAGGGAAACATAGTATAGAAGTACAAGAAAACAATTATTACAATGGTTATTTCACATACTTTAGAAGCCAGAAGTAAGACTGAACCTATTAAGCAGAGACATGAAAAAGATGTTAAGACTCCTATCAAACTAAAGATGAAAACTACAGTCTAAGATTTTTAAAAAATAGCAGCTTAGACATTACAAAAGAGATCTATAAACCCGAAGATATACTTACAGAAACCACACAAAATGGAATGGAAAAAAAGACCAGGCAAGATGAAGAGAACCATCAGTGAGCCTTGGACAATTGCAAACAAACAACTGTGCATGTAACTGGAGTCCCACAGAGGAAGTGACAGATGATGTAATTACTTTAAGGAATCATAGTCAAGAGTTGACAACTTTGATGAAAATTACCAACTCCCAGATACAACATGCTCATCAAACCCAAAGACGAGAGAAATGAAGAAAAACTGTGTCAAGATAATCATAATTAGATCATTTTAAACCAATGATCAGAAGAAACTCTTGAAAAAACTCCCAGAATTGGAAATGTTACATACAGAAAAACAAAGAATAATGCTTTCATTAGAAATAATCCAAGCTAAAAAAAAATGTCAGGAGGCCCTTTTATTGTGTGAAAGTATCTTTCAGAAACAATTTTTTTTTCAGACATACAAGAGGTAAAACAGCTCATCAGAAAGAGGTCAATACTAAAAGAATGCTAAAGCAGAGAGCGCTAGAGGGCAACGTGGAGCAAACCTGAGTGATGGGTACCATCTGGTGAAGCCTATGGAATGAATATATATATATATATATATATAATATATATATGAATATAATATATAATGAATATATAATGTCATATAATATAACATATTATATATAATAATATAATATATATTATATATATAATATATAGATATATATACTTCCTAAAGAATACTACAATTGTTTTACTGTGATATCTTCCTTACTCAGGATTATCTTATGTTGTAATATGCTTTTTTCCCCCTCAATTAACTACAGTATTATAAGACCTAAAGAAAAAGAAACAGGGAAAAATGTGAGTGGAAAAGCCTTGATATGAAAAACCCTTTCTGATTGCCTGGTTCACTCAAAAACATTTAAGTCCAGGTTTGGGCATTTGCTGTTTCCTTACATACAGTGTTAATCCAGTAAATATTTTTCTCTGGCATTACATGCACTAGTGGGATCTTTAAGCCTGAGCCAAACACTGACTGCCACTCAAGGATGCTATAGTAAACTAGCATCACTGTTTTCCAATACCACTTGTCAAGTCCTACCTGTCTAGGAAAAGGACACCTGAGAACAATGTCTGAATCAGATGTGTGAGCACTTGACATACTCTATTTGGGTTTATGTATTAATAAAGTAAGCAATATTTCTACCTACTGTCAGTTTTTAGGAGGATAAAAATTGGAACTGATACAGAAAAGCCATATTATACACAAGGAAGTCTAAGGCAGAAAAGTAGCTTAACATACACTCGTTAACTAAAAGAATTTCAACACAGTTTGAATCCAGTGGATTAATCTTCCATTTATCCTAAATAATAATGGTCAAATGATTAGTCCAGAGGTAACCTGAGGGATGTAGTGGAAGGTGCAGGGATCAAGTACTAAGATAAAAATATTCTGGAGAAAAACAAAGGAGGGGGTAATGACGTTCAACAAGAAATGTACTCATTACCTTACTCATGTAACAGTAACCCCCCTGTACAGCATCTTTGCAATAATATAAAATTAAAAAATATTCTGCCTGCTTATTTTAATCCAAGTAGTTTCTTTCTTCCTTATCATGCCTAGTGAGATATACACTGAGTTTCAGTGGAGGGACATGGAAACAAATTAAAACACAGACAGTTCACATTTTAAGAAACATATTCTTAATTTAGTAAACATTTTAAATAAGGTTTATTTTTACATTAAAGCAATGCATCATTCTGTTGAAAAACTCCATTTCTACTTATTATAAAAACCAAAATGTCCAGCCAAAGTGTTTGTCACCATTAAAAGTGATAAGAAGAACTCATTTTAGAGCCAGGCACTAATGGTTCATGCCTGTAATCCTAGTTACTCGGGGGGGGGGCTGAGATTTGAGGATCATGGTTTGAAGACAGCCTGGACAGAAAAGTCTGGGAGATTCTTATCTTCAATTAAACACAAAAAGCTGGAAGTGGAGCTGAAGTGGAAGAGCCTTGACATAAAAACTCAGGGACAAGGACAATGCCCAGACCCACAGCTCAAGCCCCAGAACTGGCAGGGAAAAAAAAAGTCTTTTTAGTTAAGATCTTTGTCTTAATTTAAAAGTCAAAGAAACATTATACAATGGATTTCCTAAAATATACTTTGAGATAGCAGAAGTAGTTAGGGTCTCACCTGCACCGCACTATTAAGAAAGCAGCTGTTTTGCCCTGGTTCATTTAACAAGCCTTTGGTAGGGGCCAGCGACAGCATACTTCCAGCTTGATAAGTTTTTCCAAGATTGCCACCAGGTTTCCGTAAGAATTTCACCCAAGCCATTCTCAAGCAACTTTGTTCGCATTAAAACTAAGAATTCTATACTTATGTGGTATTTTGGACGGTAAAATGAATGATGTCTTGAATTGTCCACTGAAAGTCACTGCAGTCTATTGCAGGAATGTAAGTTTCCAAGTCCATAACTTTCTTAGTGTTAAAATTTTGGAAGACTTTGGCAAGCAGAAAATAGAACAAGTAAATGTTGAAGCTGAACTCTAAAAGCAAGGCCTTTCAAATTTTTATATGTTAAATCTTACACAAGATCTGTACACAATGATGAAGTAGTCTTTTAAAAACTGCTAAAAATAATATTGATGAATCGTTCGTTTTCTTTAACATACAAATCATAGGTCTTGATTGGCTAAAAAATACATATTAATGATACAAAAATATGTAGAATGAGCATTTGGCATGATTCCTCAGGGCATTTGTTTTCTTTATGGTTTTTTAATAAGAAAGAAGTTTGTCTCTTTCCCAGGTGACGTTATCAGGTGACTCCACATTTCATATCAATGTGACCTCAAAGCAAATCTACAAAAAAGAAAAGAAATGTTTAAATAAAAAATCAAAACTGACCAAGAACATTCCTATTTTATTACCTGAACACAAATATTTTAATATAGAATTAAAATGCATTATAAAAGGATTAGAACTAGTAATATCCTGAAATAGGAAAATGGGCATATTACTTCATCATTTAAGTTTTTTAAATGTCAATATGACATTAATCACTATCTAATCAAAGACAGCAATGTTCAAAGAATGGTATCATTAGGAAAATATTGCACAAAACAAATGTAAACTAAATTACATCTCAAGTGGCATACAATATATGTCAACATTAAATTGTTTTATTAAACCATTGCATACATATACTCTGTATTATTATGTATCCTCTATACAAAATCATTTTTTGCCAAGAAGGTCTGATTTTACATAAACCAACAAGAATAAGAATGGAAAAGAACCATTTGTTAAAAAAATCTTAGTAAACACAATTTCCTTCTTGTTTACAATGCATGCTTGTGATTTAATAAACCTTTAAATGTTAAACTGCTAAATTAAATACTATCAAATATTAACTAATAAGGTTTTGCTAAATGAACTCAATTTTCCTCCTGTATTTTTGTTATTTTATTTTGGAGTACTAAGGTCTGACCTCTAGGCCTCATCAATGCTAGGCACTTGAGCTACATCTCTATCTCTCTGGGTCTGCTTATTTTTGAGACAGGTTTTCAAGTTTTTCCCAGCTGGCCTGAACCTGTCATACAGCTAAGATGACATGCATGTACCACCACATCATGTTGTTGGTTGAGATGAGGTCCCATTAACTTTCTGCCCAAACTGGCCTCAAACCACAATCCTCCAAATCTCAACTTTCTGAGCTACTGAGATTACAGGCATGTGCTACTAGTGCTAGGCTCCTTCCTGCATTTTTTTTTCATTCAACAAACACTTTTTGAGCCATGTACTACCACAGTTTGGTTTTTAATATAATGAGGAAAACCAGACAATATCACATATGATGACACCATATTAAATTGCAAAGTGTACTACAAGAGTATGCGGTAAAAACCAGTGAAACCACTAAGGGAAAACGTGGGATGGGAGGCATATATGAAATTCAGGACTGCTTGTACTATTACGTAAGATAGTAAAGGTTAAACCTACACAGGATTGGAAGGAGAGAAACAAACAAAAAACACCCAAGGGGAGGAATTCCAGGACAGTGATATTGGACCATATTTGCTATCGTGAAGAAGTGGCAGGAGAAAGGCTGACAATGAGCAGACAATGAAAGAGACAGAGACACAGGGGCTTGTGAGCCTTCATAAGGATTTTTTTTAAGGGTCTTCTTTCAACAAATCAACTCCTACCTTTTAGGAGCTTAGTTGGTGAGGGACATAGACACAAACTGATAATTAAACAATATTGTGTTACTTCCCTCCCACCCAACCCTGGAGACTATACAAAATAAAAGTATCTATAAAGAAGCACGGAGGAACTTTGGGGACACTGAAAGTGATGGCTTCCCGAAAGGAGAAGGAAATAGCATCTGTGGGATGGAGAGACCACGAAACACCTTTCTTGTTGTAGCCTTTTCCACCTCGGAGAATCTGCACCCTACCAGGAGTCCGATCTGGACATCCTGGGGAGTCTGGGAAGTGCTACAGAGAACTGGTGAAGTGTACGGCCCCCTTGGGTCCTGCCTTCACCCCATTACATAGAGAATGACCTGGAGAACATCCCACCTCTAACTCAAGCAACAGAAAGTGCCATTTCAGAATCAGCTCTTAAATTTCATCACCTCAATTCAAAACCTTCCACCACCACTACACCCCACTTCTTGAGATCAGCTGCTGCCATACAAGTCAGAGTGTGGATTTTAACCCTTCTCCCCAGGTAAACGTGACTAGTCCATAACACAGTCTTCCAGAGAAAGTATAACCAGACATGTGGAGAGTAGTAAGCACAACAATAGAGCGTAAGTGACTTGTGTGACACAGGTAACAAGAAGAGTAAAGAAGAGACAAATTTAAAACAGCTATCCTATCTTCCAAATGAGCATAGATAGATTTTTTTCAATAACTACTGAAATTTAAAAAAATCCAATACTGACTTAACTAGCAAACTGAACTAAGGGGAAGAAAACATTAGTGAGCACTAAGTTCAGTTCAAGAAATTCTTCTATGAAACACTAGAAAAGAAATAGACACAGAAAACACAGCGTGTTTTTAAAAGCTAAGAGGCTTGGATAAAATCTAAAATTAGAAATATCTACCTGATAGTATTCCTGGAAACACGAGAAAAAAATAAAGCCTAACTACATCCATAAAGGGTTGAGAATTTCTCAGAATTAGACTGAAAAAACCAGAGCAAACAAGATACATTTAAAATATCCAAACATAGAGGAAGGCAAGACCAAAAACTGTGGAACTTTGGCTGAGATGGAGAGGGAATAAAACTAAATCTGCCAAAAGCTAATGACAACAGACAAAATCTTCACAAGCTAGATGAAGAAAGAAAGAAAAAAAAAGAAATAGAAATAGCAATAATAAAAGAGGAGGGGTCAGATAGAGAGGCAATCACAACTGTCAAAGAATACCACTAAAATCTTACAGAAATAATATCGAAAATCTAAAGAAATCGATAATTTCCTAGCAAATGAACAACAGTAATCCAAGAAAAAGTATAAAACTGAAAGTAACTGACGAGGTGGGGAGACAAAAGGTTTCTCATTGAAAATGGTGTCTGGACCTGGATGACTCAAAGTCCAATTTTATCAAAGAACTGTTCCCTCCAAATGTTGAATTATTATTGCAGGCTGCAAGAGAAAATAAAATACAAAGTAACCTCACATCATCTCAAGAAGCTAATCTCAAAAGGTGATAAACCACCAACCAACGTGACGATTATAAATGCAAAATATTACTCACAAAACACCAGCACATAATCTACCAATGTATCAAAAGAATAACATGATGAAAAGAATAATGATGAATAGAATTTATTCCAGGAATAAAAATGCAATCCTATACTTATTCCTTTAATAAATATTTGGGAGGATGTGCACAACACAGCTAACACAGCATTATCTGTAATAGCCAAAAAGTGAAAACAACCCAAATGCCTAGCAACTGATGAATAAAACTCTTATGTGTGTATGTGCGTGTATATATTCATATAATAGAATATTATTCAGCCATAAGAAAGAACAAAGTACTGATTTATGGCATACCTTACATGAACACTGAAAACATGCAAAGTCAAAGGTAGTCACAAAAGACCACAGATTATATGTCATTCACATGACATATCCAGAGCCAGAGAAATCTACAGACACAGACAGGCAGACAATACATACATCTGAGGCAGGGCTGTTTAGGAGTAAAGTGGGGACGTTAGGGTCGGGAAGGGGAGCTATAGCTAAATGGTACAGGATTTCTTTCTGAGGCGATAAAAAGGTTCTGAAAATGTAGCAATGAAATATAAGTTTCTGGGTACATAATAAAAACCACTGAATTGTAGCCTTTAAGTGGGAAAATGCTATGATTTGTGAATTATATTGAAAAGCAAAGCCTAAGCTAGCAGGCTTATGGGAACTGAAGATTTGGGGAGACTGACTTTTAGCACTGTGATTTATCCCAACACCTGCTTTCCTTCTGGAAGCTTAGAGGCTTGGTACTTTCCCCAGCAAGAGCGTGTGTAGTTGGCCTCTCTGCAGTAAGGACACAGGGCACTGAGTCTCTGATGAGCTCCCTGGTAGACAGTATCTAACCAATGCTGTCTCATTTGCAGCTGGAAGGACCAGTGTGTCCTGCAAGGCTCCACCCACAAAGCTGACCAGAAGCTCAAGCTGTGTTTGCCTGCTTTGCTTTCACTGTAATAAATCATATCATGAGCACAACCAGATACTGAGTCCTGAGTGTTCCTACAGAATCCTCAAACCTGGCAGGTGGGAGGGACTTTAGGGATCTCCAGCCCAGAGGCATTGTGCTGCACTAGTCAGGGCCTGCTCTGCTATCTATAGAGCAAGGAATACTGTTGGTGGAATATCAGGGAAGAAAAACAAAAAAAGGTGCTTTCTTTTACTGCTAAAAACAAAACAATCTATATAAGCTATACTACTGTGACATTTTCTAGTTATGTAAATCTGGCAATAACTGCTCAAACTAAAAGCTAAACATACTGCAACCCTCAAACCTCCAAACTGAGAATCTAATCCTCCAAAATGAAGTGCTATTTATTTATTTATTTATTTTTGTCAGTTGTGGGGCTTGAACTCTGGGCCTGGGTGCTGTCCACTGTCCCTGAGCTCTTTAGCTCAAGGCGAGCACTCTACCGACCACTTGAGCCACAGTGCCACTTTCAGTTTTCTGCTGGTTAGCTAAAGATCCGAGTCTCATGGACTTTCATGCCCAGGCTGGCTTTGAACCATGATCTCAGCCTCCTGTATAGCTAGGATTACAGGAGTGAGTCACCAGTGCCCGGCATGAAGTGTTATTTTTATTGAGCAACTTTAGGTAGTAGCAGTGAATTATAGGAAGCAATGTGAATGTCTATGGGTCATAAACACCTTCACCGTAAGTTGGTTTGTTGCGAAAGTTTTAAATTTCCCGTCACCTCTGCACTCATTTTCAATATAAGTTGGGCATTTCATATTAAAGCAGGGTGTGGTGACTCTGACAGCGTCTGGTTCTTAGTTCTCAATGTGGTTGATCCAGAAAACAATCTTACACAACAGCCAGCTCTGCCACCTCCTTGTGGTGGATGAGTAACTTGATTCACCCTCTAGACCCAACCACGCTGAATGTGCTGTACAGACAGGCTGCAGTGATCCTCACTCAGTCTCAGCACGAGGCTCTAAAGCTATCAATCACTGCTCTCTGCAGGGAAAGTTCCTAGGTAACACCCTGGAGCTAAGTAAAAGCTCTGACCTCAGGTCCTTGCTTCCGGTCTTGCTTACCACCTACAGGAGCAAGTGTGCTTGTCTTGCCTGTTGTTCCTATACCGTCCCACTGTCCTCTCCC